TCTAAAGAAGTTAGATTCATGAGACCATTCTTTCATAGACACATCCTAAACGTTCCTGATCATAGGATTGCCAATTGGGCATTGACAGTCCGTTAAGATCAGTACGTGCTGTGTCTTCTCTCAGGGAGAGTGACTAGTCTCGAGTCATTGGTGTGTGTGACATCAAGACAAGTACGTAGGTGCTCAGTAGAGAATGAGTTCACTGAACACGATCAACGAAGAGTTCTCATATTCATGTCACATGAGAACTCATGGTTGGGATAATGCAAAGTAGTCCTTTGACCTGAGGCATCACAGTTGTCTTATGGTTAAGTCCTTGATCTTTGATTATGTCAAAGTCACCCCATCCGCGGGTGTCCACGACATCGTTGGGGTTAAGTCACTTAGCTATGGAAGCAAGTGAATGCGCAACAAGGGATCTCTAACCTTCAAACCGTTTGAGGGAGAATACTCTATGATATGATTTAGAACCTCTGGCCAGAGTATGAATGAGATTTAGGAAGTCGTTCCAAATCACATTCAAGGTAATCATATAAGCACACGAATCACATTGGATAGTAGACATGAATAAATAAACTATCAACCAAACAATGTGGTCAAGAGTATTGTATTAGAGAAAGACCGTATTGCATTTGTAATCCTAAACTGAATAGGTTCTCTACCTATTCTGATTAGCTTGGGTAACCATGATATGCTGCTAGGTGTCACTCATGGTTTGTGGAAGCCCTAAACGTGTGTAATCACTAAAGGGAGAATTGAAAGTAAGTTTCAATTCACAATCGATGTGAAATGGTTTTAATCGCCCACTGCCTTGCTAAAAGGAACCTAATGGATCGTACACCGTGTAAGGTGGAGATTGAAGAAACAATGGAGATGAGTATGAATAATTAAATGGTTTAATTATTTATGGCAAGGATTAATTAATATGTTAATTAATCAAACGAATAAAGTTCGTTAAAAGACCACGGGTTAGTTTTGGGCCTCAAGGCCCAATGGGCTTCGAACGTCAAGCCCATTGACTTAAGTTGTATGACAACTTAATTCACAAAGGCCCAAAAGCCCAATAAAACCCTTATGGCCGGCCATGTTAGAGAGAATGGCCTTTTGGTTCTTTAGGTCACTTATTTGAAGTGACTATATAAAGGACTTTATAGCCTAAAATTGATAAAGGGTTTCTTTTAGAGAAAATTGGTGAGAACTTGTCTCTCATTTTCTCTCTAGGAGGCCGGCCCCCTTGGAGGGTGCATCTAGCAATCCCACTACTCCAAGGTCACTCATTTTTCTTCTCCAATCTCTCCTTGGTGTGGAGACTTAGAGGTTCTCAATTTTGGGAACTTGGAGAAACCTTTTCATCCATCCAAATCCATAGATTTTAGATGCAAGGAATGAAGGCCCTCTCTTTGGGTGATTAGCCTTTGCTTATGCAAAGAGGAATCTACAAAGGTATATTTCTCAACTCACTTTGATTGAGTTGAGTCTTGGTTCACCAATCTACTAGGCTTTGAATTTCATGGGTAATGTTTTGTTTTTGAGTGCATGCAAGCATGATTCCGCCTTTAATTGTTAATTGCATGCTATATGATGTTGCTCAAATGAACATGTTTTCACAAAATAATCCTTCAAATGGAGGGGAACATGGAGTGGTGTAGCAATCGAGTGCAATGATGCATGAAATATGAAATGATGGAGGGAACAAGGAATGATGTAGCAATTGAGTGCAATGATTCAATGTAATGATGCATGAAATCTAAAATAATGAAAAGGGACAAGGGTGGTGATGCATGGCATGGGTGGAAATTGGAGTGATTTATGGCAGAAAATAGGAAAGAGATGGCTCCCTTGCACGGCAAGGAAGAGAAATGGCGAAGGATGATATGGCTTGGACTTTTAAGGCAGGTTTAGGACTTGTAGAATATGTAATGAAAAGTCCCAAAGTATTTAGAAACCCTTCGTGTGACTGAATCTTTAGTAATTTAGATTAGAAAAGGTAAAGACAAGAAAAGGCAAGTTTGACTAGTCTTTCCTCTTTCTTGATGGTTTCCTTGTCTTCCTTGCTCCTCTATTTATTTTCTTCCTCTCCTTGGCACATTCCTAGCTTCTTTAGATCTTTAATTTCATCCAACCACTTTGCTCCATGCATGTGCTATCCATTCCAAGCCCAAAACTGCTCCAAAATGCACCAAAATGCACCTTATTGCATACTTTGTCCTTAGAACCTGAAATTGCACGAAAATGACTTTAAACACTAAAACAACTAAGGAATAACAACATAAATGCATGAGAACAAGCTAACTTAGTCGCATAAATATGCTCCTATCAGTAGTCTTTTGATAGTCTAGAAGGAATGAATAATAATGGTGATCATCTTTGGGATCAATGATAACAATCCCAGCTTTCGCAGCAGTTTAGGGTGGAAGAACCATCAAAATACTCCAAGGAGTGATCCAGAGACTAGCTATTCTTTTATCTCTTGTTTGATCCATTCTTCTTTGCCCGAGAAGGCTATGCTCGATGGGATCCACACACTGGCTACCTCTAGAGTTCCCGGGATATTGATAATCTCGTATTGGGATTCTTGGTGCTCAACTAAGAAGTCTGCAATTGCTTGCCCCTTGATCACTCTCTGAGGCACATACTGAAAGCTGAACTCTGAAAACTCTAGAATCCACTTTCCAATCCTCCCAGCTAGCATTGGTTTTGACAGCATATATTTGATTACGTCAGTCTTGGCAATAATGTGGATGTGGCAAGGTAACATGTAATGCCTTAACTTGCATGTCGTGAAGTATAGAACCAGGCATAAATTCTCCACTAGTGTATATCTTGTCTCTACTTCAGTAAGGATTCTACTGATGTAGTAGATTGGTTGTTTTTTTCCACCTTCAATGTTCTGAGCCAACAAGCTTCCCATTGATTTCTCAGAGGCAGAAACATAAAGCTTTAAACGCTTCCCTCTCTGAGGTGGCATGAGCACTGGTAGAGAGGCCAAGTAAGCCTTTATGCTGTCGAAAGCCTCTTGATGTGGTGGGCCCCACTCAAATTTTTCTTTGTTTTTCAATTTTAGCAAAGGAGTTAGTGGTTGAATCTTGCCATCCAAGTTGGCGATAAATCTCCTTAAGAAGTTGATCTTTCCTAGTAGCCTCTGTAATTGTACTTTGGTGGAAGGAGTTGATTCTATGATTGCCTGACCTTTGTTCTTGTCAACCTCCACACCCTTTTGATGATAAGGAATCCCAAAAAGTTGCCCGACCTTACTCCAAAACAAATTTCTTTGGATTCATTTTTAGCTTATGGATGCTCATTCTTGTTAAAGCTTGTTTAAGGTCTACCAAGTGCTGCTCTTCAGTCTTAGACTTTACCACGATGTCATCAATGTACACTTCCATGGTATGGCCAATCAAGTCATGAAAAATGGCATTCATTGCTCTTTGATAGGTCGTTCCAGCATTTGTTTAGCCCAAATAGCATTACCACGAATTCATATGCTCTAACATGACCTGGGCATCTAAAAGCTGCTTTGTGTATATCTTCTTTAGCCATTTTTATCTGATTATAATTGACATTCCTATCCATGAAAGATAAGACTTTGTGTTGGCAACTGCATCTATGGATAAGTCAACCATGGGCATTGGAAATTCATCTTTAGGCATGGCTTTATTAATGTTCCTACAATCAACACAACATCGGACTGCCTTAGTTATAGCTTTTAATACAAGTACAATGTTGGCCAACCAATCAATATACTTGGCAGGCATAATAAATCCAGCCTTTACTAGCCTTTTGATCTCTTCCTTGACCTTTTCCTCGATCTCATTTGACATCCTCTGTGGTGCTTGCTTGACAGGTTTATACCCTTCCTTAGTAAGCATTCTGTGTTCTACTAAGGTTGAATCTAAACCTGGCATTTCAGTGTAATGCCAAGCAAAACAGTCTTTGAACTCATGCAAAAGGTTGACTACCTTTGCCCGATCCTCCGTTTCTCATAAGCCACTGATCTGGATAAGCCTTGGATCTTCCTTAGATCATTGGTCTTCAATGGGTCTTGTACTTCTGGTGGTGGCTTTTCAGGTTTTGTGCACAAGAATTCAACTAACTCTGGACTCTCGGGCAAGTATTCTGGCCCGTCCAGGTCGTATATACATTCAGCCATTTGTATGGCCACTTCCAATTCTTTTCCAAAAAACTCCTCTCCATTCTGGCTCCTTGAGGCTTCCTTTTAGTACTTCTCGGCCAAGCTCTCCCTCTCTTCTATACACCAACTGTCTTTTGATCAAGGACCTGACTGCAACTACCTGGCCTTTTCTTCTTTGTTCTGACATTACGGGTGTTGAGGAGTTGGGACAATATGGGGTCGGTTCCATTCTTCCCTTGTAAGGAACAACCCTTGTTCCAAAAGCTTTTGGGCCGTCACCTTAGTCGGGCAGCCGTTCTCATTAGCTCTTAAACACTAGAGAATCCCAATGCTAGGATTGTAAAAATTGGCTTCCGCCACATTGGCAGTGGGAAGGAATGGCCGTGACTCGACCTCCATCATATCCCAAAATCCAGGTCTCATAGTTCCCTCTTCGTGGTAAACTGCCACTTTTTAATGTATGGTGGATGGCACCAAGAGACTGATGAATCCAATCTCGGCCCAATAAAGCTACATATTTGGAAGTACTATCCACAACGAAGAAAGCTAACATGATCTGCTTGGAACCCAAGTCAACCTCCAAGGGCAATATCCCATGAGTTTTGGTGATGGCTCTAGAAAAACTTGGAACTGTTAAGTCCATGGGGATGGGATCTTCCTCACTTTTACATACCCTATTCATCTACTTGAAAAGAAACACATTGATTGTGGCTCCTCTATCAATCAAAACCCTCTTGAAGGGCACTCCCTCCAGATGAGCAGTTACATAAATGGGCTTGAGATGGTTGGCCATGGCCAAACTCGGACGACTGAAGACCATCATGTTCAAATATTAAGCCAAACAGGACTATGACTGTACGTAGAATATATGAGGTCACATTTCCTCGTGAACAAAGAAGTCCGCATTAATGCTCAAGGGAGTTCTAGTCCAACTCTTTCAATAGATCAAATTGACAATACAGCTGAACATTGGAAGAGGGATGACATTCTTGTCTTTAACACTGGCCATTGGTGGGACTAATGGAAAAATTATTTGAGGATATGATTGCAAGCTTGTCTCATATTTACTTGATATAACGTAGTTTCTTGCATTTGTTCTGCAAATTGGAATATAGTTTTGTGGTTCATTCAGGGGTGTTAACCACTTTGGTTTGTTTTGGGTGTTTCTTCCTTCTTTGATTTTTTTTTGGGTGATTGAAAACATAAGATCATCCATATGATGTCCGTGCATTTCTTACCAAAAAAATTTACTTGGTTGGCTTATATAGATGAGACGTAGTCTGGTTAAGCGTGCATAAACTCTTTGGCCATTTTTACTTTTGTACTCTGACTGTTAATTTCTCACAGGAAAAACTACTATAAAGAGGGAGATTATCTTTATCCAAAGCTTGATCGAGTTGATGCCTATAAAAGGGCTATGAGGACATGGGCAAACTGGATTGATCATAATATTAATCCATCAAAGCAGGTGGTCTTCTATCGTGGTTACTCTTCTGTCCATTTCGATTATATTCAACTACTTAATCCTTTCATCTTTCATGTCTTTGTTCAGTTCATATGAGATGACTAGCAGAGAGTATTTTTATGTAATTTGCTTTTCTAGTGAAAATTCCAACAGAAAAAGGTAAAAGATGAATCCGGGTTTTTTTGTCAAATACTTTTTGAGAAAATTGTAGAAATAGTCCTTTAACTTTAACTTAATTGAAGCAATGGTCCCTTAACTAAAAATCTATGATCATTGGTCCTTTAACTCATCAAAACATGCAGCTATGGTTTTTTTTGTCAACTCCGTCAAAATGAGTCATCTTAGAAGGACTATTGCTACAATTGAGTTAAATTTGAGAGATCATTACTCTAATTGAGTTAAAGTCGAGGGACCATTCTTCCAATTAGATTAAAGTTGAGGGACCATTACTACATTTTTTCTCATTTAATTTTTCATATTTGCCCTTTGATTCAGCCTCATATGCGTGGTACATTACTCATTTTGATTGAAGTTCTGACGAAGTTGACAAAAATGACCATACATGCATGTTTTGTTTTGATGAGTTAAGGGACCCAATAGTCGTGGATTTTTAGTTAAGGAACTATTACTTTAATTGGATTATTGAGAGATCATTACTACAATTTTCTCATATATATATATATATATATATTTTTTTTTTTTTTTTTTTTTTTTTTTTTGTGGAGTTCTGGTTAATAGTGGATGATTTAGGAGGCCCCCGCTTTAAATTGATATAATGAGAAACGGAACAAAATTTTGGGATAAACAAACAATTATAACAAATTCTTAAGTGCTTAAGAGAAGGAACAATTACTTTGGCATTAATTTAATTTATTATGGCAAGTGTTTGATCGAAAATTCTACTATGTTCTAGTGTACAGCACACCAGAGCATACTAGAAACTCCCGTGTTTAATTTATTTCTCTCTTAATTGCAAACTCCTGAAGGCAGAGGTGGAAATTGGGATTCAGGTGGGGTTTGCAATGGAGAAAAAGAACCAGTCGTAAGTGGAGCCATACTTGATGACTATCCTTTGGAAATGAAGATAGTGGAGGTATTCAATATGCGGATTCCTGTGAGGCTGCTGAACGTGACAAGGTTGACCAATTTCCGCAAAGATGGCCATCCATCGATCTTTGGCAAGAATGCAACCCCTGGAAAAAATGTTTCCACAGTGATCCAAGACTGCAGCCACTCGTGTGTTCCTGGGGTCCCTGATACATGGAACGAGCTCATTTATGCCACTTTTGCTTTACAGCAGACCTACTCAGAGTAAAATTTCATAGGGCTTTCTAATTTTACCATGACACTGACAGTAATTACTATATACTTAGTACATATCTGCATTCTTTTACTTGACCAAGAATCAGTTAAATCGGAGTAGAAGAGGAGAGTGTTCGGGGGTACAGGGATCCCACGTACCAATCCATTGGCGGTGTACGTATTTTCCGTGTAGGCCAACTCTTGTCCGAGATGCAACTCATTCTTTACTTACAAAGAAGTCATTCTTTATTTGCAATCAAGTTACTATTTGAAAAGCGTTTGACAGACTGTGATTTACAGATAAAAAAGAATTTGCGGTGAGTTAAGCATTATTCAAAGTAAAATTCATTCTTGGAAACCAGCCTACAAGGCAAGGGGTGCTCGATGCTAACGAAAGCTTGTGTTCATCTTATGTAACAATGCTCAAAGTAATGCACTTTTTTTCTTATATGGAAAAGTATTACTTTCTTCAGCGTTTCTAAAGTGGGCACCTTAAAATGTTTCTCACCATTAATCAATGCTAGAATTCTTCCTTAAGAAGATATCATTTTCAATCAATTTATGTATTACAAAGGGCTTGAAGAGTAAAGTGAAATTGTAGTATTGCTAACTTGGTCATGCAAGTGGCCTTTTACCACAATGGTGCACAGGTGTTGAGTCATTGCATGACAGTGTGTGTTCGAACCTCATCAGAAGCTAATCTAATATCTAATATAACAAAATCTATCGTTTGACAAAAAAAAAAAAAAAAAAAAACTTGGTCATACAAATCATAATAATTTTAATCGAAAATTAAATGATTACCATATATAACAAAAAAGAATAATTGATCGAAATTGAAAGATACATCTCTCCTATGTTTCCCTGAAAATTATAATTTTTTTTTTTATTCAAAAGAGCCAACGCCAATACCAGCATGCATGCTAGCTAGTACCTTTCAGTTGTGCTCAATGATATCGGATATTTAAATAGTGCAGGAAGAATTCATTGTTCAACAGTTACGACATTTTTTCACGAAGCTAATATGCCATTGCGGAGCGGATCGGCAATGTAATCATGTGGAAGACCCTATTGCCACCGGTACAAGAGGCTATCTTCTGATGAGGGTCGATATTAATACCAATATGCCACTACCGATTGGGTTCCGACTCCCACACAAGGAAGTCCTTGATAAGGCTCAGGTATGAAGGTTTAAAACGATTATGCTTTCGGTGTGGTAGACTGGGGCATGTCAATCGCCCAGACAACCAATGTATTCACCCACTTTGCCCGGTGATGGTTCGAGAAGGATTATCATATCGGACTATAGCCTTGCCACCTACTATATCAAAGGTCCGACTCCTCTGTTTCCAGCAAAGCCAATGAAGAAAGCCACGAGTTCAACGGTTTGTGCAGATGAACCTCACCGGAGAAACTGGTCGGAGAGGGAAGAGGGGAGTATGTATGGCGTGCACCCACATGAACGAGTTGACTCAGAAGGAGAGGACCGAGAGGTGGAATGGTCAAGACCTTTGGATATTAACCAGGTCAGTTTTCAACGATTTGAACAGAACAATGCGCCTCCCGAGGCATTGAGTTTGACTAGTAATAGCAACACACTGCACAAAGCAACGGTAAAAAATCTTGAACCTGGTATGTTAACCATTGAGCAATCTTCTTTAAAGCTTCTCTGGAACGGTCCTTTTCAATCAACTCCTACCACTTTCCTTGATAGGGCTTTTGATACTCTTTCCATCCCTCACCAACATGTTACCTTAAACCCAACCACCCAAAATTGCTTAACCTAAGCTAGTCCTTGTGAACACCCCATCTGCTTTGACAAAACTTTAGCATCCCAAAGCCAAGTTGCACTAACCCGTGACTATAAGCTATCCATCATCCCACCCATAAACACTTGTCCCACCAATATCAAACAAGTAGAAAATACCCCACTCACTTTAGATGTGGACGTGGGGTCCACAAATACAAATCAGACTGTGAAGGGAAAGAGACCCATACAAGTCAATGGTGGTAGCAAGAACATGAAACGAGGGAAGGGGGCCCATTTCAGCCTAGGGGTCTCGTGTCCTCTAAGGCCATCTCCAACCGAAGGGTCCAGAGGGCCGAAAATAGCCCTAAAACCGTCTCCAACCGAGGGTTAGGTCAGAGGGCTCGGGAATCTAGGAGGGTCCCACGAAATTTCAAAGGGCCAAAGGGCTGGCTGCTTTCGGTTATAATGTTTTGTTATTCCTGTCGGTTATAACCGACAGGAATACATGCTATTATTTAGGGATGGTTTGGGAGTGAGGTGCTTAAAAAAAACACCCATGAAAAAAAGCTGTGAGGGTTTTAAGTGTTTGGTAAACTGAAAAAAAATGGCTTGTTTTGGAAGCTGCGGTGAGAATAAGCTGAAATCAAAGGAAAAAGCTGAAGCTGCTATTTGCAGCTTTGGAAAACTAGCTTTTTTTTCAAAGCACATGGAGCTACAGTGCTCATTTAATGAAAAGACCAACTATCAGACTGTTTTTTTTTTTTTCAAAAGCACTTTTACAAAAAAATTTACCAAACATTCTGCTGATTTATTTCACAGCCACTTATCTTCACAGCATAGCCACTTATTCTCACATCAGCTTTTTTTCAAAGCACAGCAATACCAAACCAACCCTTAATATACTAAATAATGGCATGTATTCCTGTCGGTTATAACCGACAGGATTTAAAAAAAAAATTCAAATGAAACGGCTACTAGCCGTTCCATTTGATTTGATTTTTTTTACATTATTAATTTTTTTTTACATAAATTTTCATATAACTTCTATTTCACAAAATTTATTTCATATTTTTTTTAAATTCCATTTTTTTCCTATAACTTCTATTTCACAAAATTTATTTCATATTTTTTTAAAATTCTATTTCTTTTCCTATAACTTCGTAAGCCATTATACAACATTAAATTAAATTAAGTAACATGAAACAACATGAAACAATATGAAACAACATTAAATAACATTAACCAACATAAAAATTATACAACATGAAACTTAAACAACATTTTTAAAAACATTTAAAAACATAAAACGTAAATGCCTACTCCATGCTTCTTTGGGCCCAAAGATGTGCAACAAGATCTTGTTGTAGGTACTTGTTTGTGGCATGAGAACGTATCATTCTATAACGCCTCATGTACTCATCTATAGAGATACTACCAGTTCTTGGATTGAAAGGCAAATTAGGTTCATCATATATTTTTGCACGAGCCCTTCTTGACCTATTTGGATCTTCTTGGTCGTCATAGGACTCTCCATCAATATACCCATCTCGCTCATCCTCCACTATCATATTGTGTAATATGATACAAGACATCATGATGGAGTCCAAATTTTCTCGACTCCACCCTCTTGTCGGTTCTTCCACCGTGCTTGTAAAATATCAAAAGCTCTTTGAACATCTTTCCGATATGCCTCTTGGTGTAAGGTAAACAACTTTTCTGCATCATTCCTAGGGTTTGGAATTGCTTGGACAAGTGTCGCCCACTTTGGGTAGATGCCATCTACCAAGTAATACCCCATATTGTATTGACGACCGTTGATGTAGTAGTCAAGTTGAGGTGCTTTACCTTCCGTCAAGTTATTGAAGAGGGGTAAACGCCCAAGAACTGTAATGTCATTTTGGGATCCAGGAACTCCAAAGAAAGCATGCCAAATCCATGTGTCATATGAGGCAACCGCCTCTAACACAACAGTTGGCTTTCTCGACCTTCCGCTAAAGCCTCCTTGCCATCCGGTGGGACAGTTCTTCCAATCCCAATGCATGCAGTCTAATGACCCTATCATGCCCGGAAACCCACGGTCTTCAGCTTTGTGAATGAGCCGATTTAGATCTTCTTAATTTGGCTTGCAGAGGTACTCGTCTTTGTAAAGCTGAACAATTGTGTCACAAAATTCTTGAAGAGTATCAAGGCATGTAGACTCAGACATACCATAGGTTTCATCCATCGAATCAGCTGGGGAGCCATATGCCATTATTCGGAGTGCAACAATAACCTTCTTATGAGGTGAGAAACTAGGGCGGCCTGCTCTGTCCCGCTTCTATCGAAAGTACGGATTGACCTGCTGGACATCACAAAGTAAACGCTCGAAGACATGACGCCTCATCTGGAAGCGACATCTGAAATCCTCTTCTGTGTACACCGAGTTGGGGTCGAAGTAGTTGTTCATCAGATTGGCATGCTTCATCGCTCTGTTTCGTGGTTTGTAAGAGCGACCAGCAATAGAGCCATCCCATTGGGGTTGTTCCTCAATTGGCTGACACACTATGGCCACAGCCATGGCGCTACTATGTTTTGTTTGTTGCGCCTTACTTGAACTTCTTCAGACTCCTCATCTTCTCGTCTCATTTGCGCCCATTTTGCTTCTTTTTTGGAATTGGATGAGGACCCCCAGTTGGAATCTGAAGAGGATCCAAAGTTGGAATTCATTGCAAACTTGAATTGAAAGAGATTGAATTTAAATAGATTGAATTCAAAGTTGTGTGAATTATATCCCAATATCCACCCTATTTATAGCAAAAAAAAAATTCAAATCCAACGGCTAGCTGACGTCATGCTGACGTCACTTAGCCGTTGGATTTGAATTTAAGTTGTAGTTTTTAAATAATAAATTATGTTTGGCCCTATGGCCCTTTGGCCCTCGGTTGGAGACGGTTTTTTGTGAAAGGGCTAAAACAAGCCCTCTGGCCCTCTGGCCCTTAGTTGGAGACGGAGGCAAATATGGCCCTGTACTGTTCATTAAAATATTAATATCTTGGAGAATCTTGGAGCCAGAGGGCTAAAACGAGCCCTCTGGCCAGCCATCGGTTGGAGATGGCCTAAGACTTTCAAACCAAGCAACATGTGGCAGAGGTCGAGGATCTCGTGAGAGCAACAACATAAAACACCAAGGAAAACTGTACATTGCAAAAAGGGCGAAGCGGAAGGTGTCCATAATAAGGGAAATTTGACTGAGATAACAGTTACTGCCTCGGAACAACTACAAA